GTTATATTGTCAGAGTCTTAAGTATCGATTATAAGGAAACTGTCCGGGTCGTTTTTTAGACTGCTAAGCATTGCCTTATCCTGTTCTTTTACAATTGTGATAATTGCATTGACGTCCTTTGTCTATGCACCTTTAATTGGAGAAGTTTTTATTTTGATTTTGTGACAAAAAAATACATTTCTCTCTTTTCTCTCTCGTGCAGCTTTCTGTTCTAATTGTATACTTTAGTCTGATAAGATCGCTTCAGTTTCTGTTTTATTTCTTCAATCTCCAAAGATAAAGTACTTTTTCTTTATTGGGATAGTAGTGCCTGCTTAAACATTTCACTATTATTTCCCCTTCTTTTGTAATGTCCTCTTTTGGATCTTCCGCAATATCATATCGTTTGCAGTTAGTTTGTTGTATGTGTTTCAAGCAGACTTTGTACGCTTCGGCAGTCAATTGTTTTATTCCTTGTGTGACAGTTTTGGTGGTTCCCATGGCATGTTTGGAAGTGTTGTTATTTTTCACTTCTTATTGTTAAAACTGAATTTATTGAATAGTTCTTCTCGCTTGTTAATCCTTTTGGACATATTATGAGTATTGATATTCGTTTGGATTTCCATGAGTTTGTGATCTGCGAATCAGGGACATTAGAATCTAAGGTTCTATTGTCTTTGATTATTTCTTCATCGTTAAGAAAGAGTATTTTGGTAGCTAGTTGGCTCTGTTAACTGACGGTTGAGCAAAAATGTGTCACAGAATCTAAGTAGTTATCTGACCTGAGCTTATTTCTAAAAAAAAAAAAAATTCAGGATGATTTCGCGATAAAATGTTACTGTTGGCTAATCTGCATCTTAAATTGAATAAATTGAAGTCTTCAAGGGAGATAATATTAGTCACTGAATTCTGCTGATTATCGAGACAATTCTCTACTATGATTCCAGGTACAGTACTTCCACAACCATATTTAAAGAATGTGCATACAAGTTCCTCTTTAATATACAGACCTGGAGTTAACCAAGCACTTATCCCGGGGTTGAATTAAGTCTTATTTGCGCTGATTTACCTTTAATCTTGTATTGATCTTGTTCCAATCTTACGTTCATCTGGTATTTTTCTCGCATTTATCTGGCATTAGTCAACAGTGTGTCTGTAGCTTATTAACACACATCTATGTGATGCTTCCGGGAATTTCGTTGGTCATCCCGACCCCTACCATACGGCTAAATCATTTCGGTTCGATAGTAAATGCCAGAACTTTCTCTCCAGTTTCATACCTGTGGTTTGCCCGTGGCCGAGTTCAAGCATTTCTCTGCTCGAGCAGCCCGGCCTGGGGCTGGGCTTACCTGGTGATTACTTGTGCAGTGAGTGAGTGAGTGAGTGAGTGAGTGAGTGAGTGAGTGAGTGAGTGAGTGAGTGAGTGTTAGCAAGCCCACTGGTCCGGTACCTCGTGCTGGATTGTGTTCCAACAATATTTCTAACACTTACTGGCAGGAAGTTAACGTGGCGAGCCAATGATGTTTACACAGTATTCTCTGTGCTCAGGACACACTTACACAATGCACCGTTAACCGTTAACTCAGAACTAAATCCAATGAACAATAAATCATTAAGCCAGAACTCTCTGGGAGTTCCTCAACTCCCCCACGCCCGGCCCGGGGCCAGGCTATACATTATGTGACCTCATCTCGACTCAATTACGGGCTATTCATGCCCCTGCCACCTTTTGGGTGGCTTAATCTTCATCAATCAATCTCAACTCAAGAGAGTATACTACCACCAGACGGTCCCTATACCCTAAGTGTTTTACTATATGTGCAGTATTGGTACAGTGTATTAGTGGGTATAAATGGTGCCAAACACACATGTGTATCAACACAGGCTGGAGTATATGGCAGGAATACACAATTTCTTCTCACTAGACCGGGATTCGAATCCCAGCAAGAGAGATGGAGATTTTGTATATTTACATCTTTTTATATATACACAAGTTACTTAAACATGAGCACTATACTTCTGGGAACGTTTTAGAAACAGCTTGTCAGAGATTTCTCCAAACTTGACTAGACTATATATATATATATAAACCACTACACCAAACTCAGTGAAAATTTCGGGGTATTCAAATATCCCTACCATCCAAGGGCACCTAGCTAGGAGGCAACGTCTCAAGTCCCTGTTAATATGGGAGACGGCCTTTTAAGGGTCTGACGAGTGACTGACGAGTAAGACTGAGGATGCTGGCGTGCCCGTGAGCCCCCAGCTGCCACATCAACCACCAGCTATGACCCTATAAAGCAAGCTCGTTAAAGTACTCCCTCTCATCACCATGCTGTCCACACGCGGGGTTAAACGATCCCCCCAGCGACCAACTCACCCCTGCTACACCCCGCGTTACTGAGCTCTCATGTCCCACCAATTAAGCAATACAATGTCCAATACACCCCGAGACTATTCAGTGTTGCATTATGTTGTCAGGACAATTGTGCTCGCTGGCAATTATTATTATTTAATATTCTTCTACCCGAGTCTCTCTTAATTCAGTCCTTAATTTCAAGCTCGTTTAAAATTAACTCTCTAGTTTGTTGTTAGGGTGAAAAAGAACCATATGCTGACTGTTATTGGTTCCAGGGATCAGTGTCCCTGCGGCCCGGTCTCTAACCAGGCCTCCTCTCCTTAATGACTTACACTAACTTAACATAGATCTTTACCACTATTACCACTACTAGCGCAGTGGGACCCACAATCGGCTCACCAGCGATTGGTTCCAAGTTCGACTCTCGCGCAAGCCACTTCTTCTAACACACACATGATGCTTTTGTATCTGGGAGCTGAGCAACTGTTTGGTGGGCAGCCTGGGTAAGGTCAGTCGTTGACCTGGTGTGTGTGTGTGTGTGTGTGTGTGTGTGTGTGTGTGTGTGTGTGTGTGTGTGTGTGTGTGTGTGTGTGTGCGTGTGTGTGTGTGTGTGTGTGTGTGTGTGTTTACTAGTTGTGTACTAGTTGTGTTTTTACGGGGGTTGAGCTTTGCTCTTTCGGCCCGCCTCTTAACTGTCAATCAACTGTTTACTAACTACTACTATTTTTTTTCCCACACCACACACACACACCCCAGGAAGCAGCCCGTGACAGCTGACTAACTCCCAGGTACCTATTTACTGCTAGGTAACAGGGGCACTTAGGGTGAAAGAAACTTTGCCCATTTGTTTCTGCCTCGTGCGGGAATCGAACCCGCGCCACAGAATTACGAGTCCTGCGCGCTATCCACCAGGCTACGAGGCCCCCTACGAGTGTGTGTGTGTGTGTGTGTGTGTGTGTGTGTGTGTGTGTGTGTGTGTGTGTGTGTGTGTGTGTGTGTGTGTGTGTGTGTGTTTTAGAGAGAAATATATGTAATAGATATAATAGAGGAAAAAGAGATTGTTTAGAAAGACGGGGTCCAAGAGCTAATAGCCCCATTCTGCAGACACAAATAGTAAACACACACACACACAACCCACCTCCAGGAAGCAGCCCGTAGCAGCTGTCTAACTCCCAGGTACCTATTTTCTGCTAGGTGAACAGAATTTCAATCAGGGTGAAATTTTATCAAGGAAGAATTTCATCAGAATGAAAGAAACTGCCAATTTGTTTCTGCCTCCACAGGGAATCGAACCCGAGCCATTAGAACTACGACCCCCAAGCACTGTCCACTCAGCCGAGAAGTCCCTGTGTGTGTGTGTACACGCACACGCGGAAGATCAAGACGAAGATGTGTGTGTGAGAGACCCCTCGATCACAGCCAAGATATGTTGTTGTTGCTAAAGATTCAGCTACTCGGAACAAGTTCCAAGTAGCACGGGCTATGGTGAGCCCGTAACTTACCTGGTACAGGAGCGGGGCAAGTAGTACGGGCTATGGTGAGCCCGTAGTGGACTTACATGGCATGCAGCCAAGATAGCAGAATGAAGTGAGGTGAGATGCAGGAGTCCTCATACACGACAACTCTGAGTCTAATTTGTGTATTAGGAGAGCAGTGACCACCCCGGGTTGGCAACAGTTGCCAGGGTACTGGGTAGCGAGGTTAACATTACCTTTACAACACATACACACATACGGGAAGTGAATAAATGCCAGACATGGATGTTATATAACTTTTTCTAATGTATGCTTTTCCATCCATGTACGGCTCATGCCTGAGGGAAATGTGTATGCAAATGACTTGTCCGCGACCTCAAAGATACCGAAAGTGTCCCCGTGAATACTAAACTGGAATTGGCACAGAGAGCCAGTGATATTGGCCCACGAGGCGTCAAAGAGTGACATAATAATATTATGAGAGAGAGAATGCACTACACTTACAGCATTGCTTGTGCCAGGTTGTCTGACAACCTTCTCCTGACCTCACAATGAGGCGACCACACCTGCGGTGTGAGAGATGAAGTCATCTGGTGTGAAGCAGCAGTATATTTCCCCGTGGATACACACCTGATTGGTGCTCCTCGCTACACCATCACGTGTTCACTCCTCCCCTTTTACTGTAGTGTATGAAGGAGGGTACACACACACACACACACACACACACACACACACACACACACACACACACACACACACACACACGAACAAGGGGACACAGGTGGAAACTTAGTACCCAGATGAGCCACAGAGACATTAGAAAGAATTTTTTCAGTGTCAGAGTTGTTAGTAAATGGAATGCATTAGGTATTGATGTGGTGGAGGCTGACTCCATACACAGTTTCAAATGTAGATATGATAGAGCCCAGTAGGCTCAGAAATCTGTACACCAGTTGATTGACGGTTGAGAGGCGGGATCATAGAGTCAAAGCTCAACCCCCGCAAGCACAACTAGGTGAGTACACACACATACAAACAAGAATCGTCAGATCAATTCTTGCCTCACATTACTTACCACTGTTTACATATATCGTTCAAGAAACACCCCATTAACATTTACCAGTGTGAAGGTGAAGGGTGATGATGGGTGGATGACAATGGGTGGGTGGCCAGCGTGGGTAACTAACCTTGAGTGGGGGCATGAAGTAGGCCAGAGTGGGTGAGAAGAGCCTGTGTGGGTCTACGGCGGCTGGGGGCTGGTGACCATGGTGGTGGTGATGGTCCTGGTGGTGGTGAGGAAGGTGGTGGACGTGGTGAGGCAGCAGCTCCACCACCAGCTGCACCAGCCCCCCGAACATCTCCTGGGCCAGCACCAGCGCTAGCTCCTGGGCCGCAGACCGGTATCCGCTGCCCACTCGCGCGTCTGAAACAAAAGAAAAACAATAAAGCCCCCCGCTGTATTCGCCTGCCAACACGGGCATGTGGAACACAATACAATACCAGCATGAACACCCGGTACCAAGTTTCCCACAAGATCGTCTGCAACATACAGCAACACTTGGTGCAACAATATGGACGCAACACACTTTGCTATCAACCTTCAACCCCATCACCCAGCATCTCCCCCGGCACACATCACTAACCCCCCCTGGCCCCAGGACACACTATCTACTACCTGCATCACTATCTACTCTCTTCCTTTAACATAATGTCTACTATCAACCACCGACACATTACTGTGTGGAGTAGTAGATGTTCTCTCCAGTCTCTGACACGCCATCTATTGCCAACCTTTACAACACTGTGTATAGTTGAGCTCCGGCAGTATCACCCTTCAACACCTTCACTTGCAGAGTGTGGATGAACAGTCCTCATCAAGCTCTACAGCTGACCGCCCACTTCGGCTTCCTAGAGCCATACTGCCATTCTACCTCACGAAAGAAAATATGGTGGTTTCAGAACATTTAAACTCACAATTTAGTATTTTATTTGCTAGTAAACAAAATGGCGGCTGATAGAATGTTCTAGAAATAGTAGTGGCATCATCCCCCAGCATTGGTGATGATACTTCAGCCAATCAGAGGTGTACGAAGTGTAGCGGCGGTCGATTGGCCATAATATGCGAAATCCTGAAGTAATCAGAAGGGAGTAGGCTCGTCTCCCACGTATCCTAGGACTTGCTCTAACAGACAACACGCATCATTCTAGCCCCAGTGGTCGTGAGAGGTAGACCTGCCAAGCATCGCTCCAACCAGAAGTCATTATTGGATTGGGGGAGGGTATTGGGGGAGGGGGTTATGACGAAGAATATATAGAGGTAAAAACAAGTTGTTTTTTCAGCCGGAAGCATTGTGATCATTATCAAAATCTTGTGGTTATCAGAAGGGGCGGGCTTCCTTCTTGACCGGAAGACCGCAAGGCCACACCACATCTCTCATTCTCTACCTTTCCTTGCACCATCTCCTGCTTCACCATCACTGTTGGTGCCATCACCATCACCCTCACCACCCATGGCACCATCATCACCACTGATGACACCATCACTCATCAATGCAGGCGACGAGTCACAATAACGTGGCTAAAGTATGTTGACCAGACCACACACTAGAAGGTGAAGGGACGACGACGTTTCGGTCCGTCCTGGACCATTCTCAAGTCACAATCGACTTGAGAATGGTCCAGGACGGACAGAAACGTCGTCGTCCCTTCACCTTCTAGTGTGTGGTCTGGTCAACATCACTCATCAATGTTGCCACTATTGCTCTCAACCAATCCATTATCGCCCGTGCTTCACAGTCACCCCCCCCCCCCTCCCCATCACTGTACCATCACCAGTCACTATTTTTCTCGTTAACTCCACTGGATCACCACCTTTCCATGGAGGGAGAATTATCCCCCGATGACCAGGGGGAGAGCCGGGTTTGGTCTCTAATTCCCCCACTTCTTGTTAAAGGATACGAGACAGACTAAGTGTGTTTCACCGCCTAGGGGGGAAAATCCTTGTGGTTCACTGGGGACTACAGACTAATCCTCTCAGTGTAGGAGACTTGAGCCAGACTAAACTTTGTCACACCTTAGACCACCTAACCTCCAGGAGGCGATATTAGACCCATAAAGCGTCTATATTCCGGTGGTTTATAATTCCCCTAAACCACAGCTATATTTACGCAAGGGTCGACTGTGTTAAAAAATATACAGTGGGTCACTGAAGATGCCAATGACCCCGTATTTAGGGCGAGTGATATATTACTTTGCAATGCAACCCTCATTAATATGCCCCAACCATTAGCAGTAATTGCCAGAGCGTTAACTTATTATTAAAGTTGTAGTGAGAGAAGAGGTTGGTGAGGGCAGCCCAGTCTGGAGAAGTTGCACCACCCTCTTATGGTCCCTTCTCACGGCCACCATCCATTACGTGCTGTTGCTCCACAGAAACAACTTTACTGGATAATTTGCACAGTGGGTACCTCTGGTTCAAGACCACACACGCACATCTTCATTACCTGTGGCGCAACATGAACCAAGAATAATTACAACGAGACTCTCCCCATAATTGTAAGGATTTGAATATCAACGTGTTCTTTTTAAACAATGTGAGCCGTAAACAAATATTTTTAAGATTTCGATTACCTCCACTAATGGATATGTATCAAATGTTTTGTAAAGATTGTGATGAAGAGTAAAATGGTGAGCCAGGAAAGTCATTGGCCATATATATTGGTCAACATCAACCGTGTCAGGTCAAGCCAGCAATGAAATGCAATGTTACGTTACGTATGAAAATTTTGACATCTGCTTGATTCATGCAATGCAAAGACCTTTGGCTGATAATTTTGTGATATAAATACAATTGAAACAAGCCTTAGATAAAATAGGTTAAATATAAGCCCTGTCTGGATGAAAAGACCCATTTTTCTGTGAAAAAGATAACTTCGAAGGTTAATGAAAATGCTTCAATTGTCAGTGTTCATAAACAGCTGCCGTTGCCCAGGAGAATAGTGGGGCTTGCCTGATGGGTTCCACATCTCTGCGTCCTGTTTTATTTCAGTTTGTTCCATCTTTGCCAGTTCAATTACATTATATGCCTAAATTATAAATTATATTACACTTTATCAACTGATAAAAAAACTGGTATTATCCCATTTAATTTTATTTTGAATATTTTCAGATGTGTGAAATATTGTTTTTGCTTAGTTAATGAATTGTTTTAAATATTGATAAAATAATAATAATTTTTTTTATCTAATGAATGTTGCCATTGTTTTGATTAGTTGACAGTTGCTGATAAGTGATCTCCAAGTCTCTTCACCATGTCTCTGCCTGCCAACTAGCTAGTCAATTACCAGTCTATTCACCATGTGTTCATCACACACACACACACACACACACACACACACACACACATATATACATTGTGAATTTTGCAATTGTATATGCGCTATTATTTCTACAAATTTTCGACACTCGAGGCCAAGTGTATATTTCTTATTGTTGATTGTATTTGATTAATGACTAACAATAACTGGGCGTAATCTGATTTCCTTATTTTATATTTGATTAATAAAAGTAGGTCAAACTTTATGCACTGAGAGAGACACCCACTTGTCAACACATATTGTGTATGTAACACCTGTAATATGTATTGTCCCCCCCCCCCACCCTCAACCCTGCCCATCTGATGCCTTCACGGTGTCACGCCTCCACAATCAGCTCCACACCCCACACGTGTCCATACACCCTACACACTGCTACCAGGTGTGTGTGTGTGTGTGTGTGTGTGTGTGTGTGTGTGTGTGTGTGTGTGTGTGTGTGTGTGTGTGTGTATGTGTGTGTGTGTGTGGCGTGAACAAACAACAGGGCTCCATCAAGGAACACATAATCGCCACACACAATGAGACGATCACCTGGGACATTTTGACGAGCAACACCGAAATAATTGATAGATACAATGACAATAGAAGATTAGACATCAGTGAAGCGCTGCATATCAAGAAATCTAGACCAGCAATTAATAACCAGCTAACACACAGTTACACTCTACCCACTTCAAGACCCAGGGTCAATGAAGAAGCTGGATTGAATGACCCTTCAACCGGAAGAACATGAACTGCCTACATGTCACACTCTTAATTTACTACCTCATTATAAAGGACCCCATTAATACCCCATGTAAGTCATTCATCCATGTCACCAACCACCTCACCATTAGAGGATATAATCAGGTGCTAACACAAAAAAAAAATTTGTCTTTGAGAATGTGAGGAGAGACCTTACGAAACGCATCACTAGGGGTTAGACCCAAATAATAAGTAAAAATGAACTTTGGAGAGTTAATTTTTAATCTTCCTGCTTCAGTGAAGAAAAACATAAGGAATATCGAGAAGATTCATCCCAGAATCATAAATCTAAAACTTTCTGTCGTTTTCAATGAAATGTTCAAAAGAAAGACTGCTACCAAAATATACATATTATATATATATATATATATATATATATATATATATATATATATATATATATATATATATATATATATATATATATATATATATATATATAAGCTAAATTACCGGGGAGTAAGTGAGGAGGAAATGAAGTATATCATAAATAACAGAATATTACTGCTATAGGTCACCATCAATAGGAGTCATGATTGCTATGGTGTGTCAGCTTCAAGTGGTTGGTACTCTCGTGGATGGTATGTGAGCGAGATGTGCTAGTCATCTGCCGCCAGACTCTTATTACCTCCTGTACCATCTGCTCCATCCACGCTATCCGCCAGCTGATGCTCCAGTTGGCGTGTCAATCACCAGGATAGTCTCCAACACGTCACCACCTGGAGAATTCATTTCATCCCATGCTGGTGTTCTTCAGATCCACTAACTACCCACTTAGAGCTAGTGTCTTGCGACAATCTGATCCGAAAGACTGTTGTTTAGGGTGTCTTGCAGGCCCATATGTCCACTACCACCATTGCAATCCTATAGGCGCTTCCATATTGCTTTTTGAATACGTCCACTTTTATTTCAGCAACACTTCTCAAATTGGTTGAGAGGAAACTGACAGGCGGCCGTGAAGCTCTGAGGTTCATACAGTGGTCTGTACCTGTGCAACCCGTTCTCGCAAATTTAATGTCAATATTGACTTATTAAATATGTGCATAGGTGACATACTTAACATAATAGATACCCTTAAAAAGATTCATAGAAAACACCGACCTTACCTAACCTTGTTAGTATCTTAAGATAAGCATCTTATTGCTTCGTAATTACAATTATTACCTAACCTATAATAGGTATAGGTTAGGTAATAATTGTAATTACAAAGCAATAAGATGCTTATCTTAAGATACTTACAAGGTTAGGTAAGGTCGGTGTTTTCTATGAATCTTTTTAGGGGTATCTATTATGTTTAGTATA